ATATATATATAACGCATTGCAAGTCATAAAAATAGTTTAAATCTACCCTTGACATAAATAACTTCATTTTTCCTTCCAATTTATTCAAATCTCTGCTAAGATGATATCTTTTGGAAAACAGATTCCTAATTATCAATGAAATTACTTTAAATTGAAGATTCTTACTTGTTTTTGAATTTTTATATCTATAGATTTAGAATACGTCATCAATGCTGATTTTTATATTCGTGACTACCTACGATAACACTGAAATTTTTATAGGCTAGTAAGAACGTTGGATGTGCTTCATTCCGTGTGTAACTACTACTCGTAGCCTATCAAACTGTGTACATAACTTCTAAATAATTGAAAAAAAAAACAAGTATATATCAACACGTATTATTCAGTTATATACTATATTACTCGATTACGATTAATATTTTACTTACTCGTCTACGAGAAAAAAAGTTCAAAGTGTCGCAGCCATTTTTCCTCCCGCGTATCTACTGCAAACTCCATTTTTTACCTCTTTGCTCCTTTTTCTGTCCTGGCATGGTAACTTATAACGTCGCCAGCATCTAATCTCGATTGCTTTCAATTTCCTCTGGTTGTCCATTTGTCAGCCACGTTGCTAGAGTCGCATCGGAAGAAAAGAGTGTGCTGGTGCCAGCTTATTCCATTATTGGAGGTACTCGTTTCACCTGCAAGTATGGCGATGGCTTTGGACTGACGAACTGGGAAGATCGCTTATTCTAATTCGAAATTAGTATGTTATGATTGGTTATTTGTCTCTATATTACGTTTGAAATGTAAGTGAACACTAATTCTAACCGTGAAGAGAGGATTGACTGGTTTATTGTCAATCGATGTTTTATTTAGTGTTCTAACACATTAACGTACTGTTAACGTGTTCATACTATTAATGGCTACGAGTATAAATAGTAATAATGTGTCTCATAAAATTTCAATAAAAAGGTGCATAATAATAAGAGTACCTTTTCTACGTTTAGCATGGCGACCTTGATATTTAATCGTAATTAACTGTTTCAACTTTCCTTGAACAAAATTATTTGAGAAACGTGTAGATTAATTTATGTTGCCCGGAATTTCACAATCCCCGCTCCACCCATCGCTACTAAAGTGTCATGTTGCAGCAGTGTAACCTGACTTCCCATGCGTAACACTGAAGTCAGCACAAGTTATCTCCTATTTGCTACGCTGAAAGTGTAATGCGATCGGTTCATTCTTAACTCGTCTTATTGCAGTAATGGGCGTGCAGTGCTCCAAGTACTCGGACTGCGACATCGCCAACAGCTCCTGCATTGAGGATCCTCGCGATGGGAAGAAGCGGTGCTTGTGTGGTGACAGGTCCGTCCCTAATGGAAAGCCTGCCTGCAAAAACAGGCAAAGAAGTAAGTACTGTGTTCCTTCTCATCAGCAAAATGTCGGCAGTCAGAATCATTCAATAAAAAATTAAATGTATTATTGTAGTACCTAAACACCTTCGTTCAGAATGATATTTTCCTAGATGTCAACAAAAGGGCGACTTTCATAACGTTTTCCAAACACAACGTGAGGGAACTTGAGCCACATAAGAAGCGCGAACTAACTGATAATTTTTCATTGATACTGACTTATTCGCTCGCGCGAAACCTCATCATAAGAATGGCCTCGGATCCCTTTCAAAGACAAAGCTGTCTGTCATACCCTTCTCAGTTTATTGTTCTCTCTTCCCTTCTGCGATTATACAAGACCGAAGGACGAAATCAATACTTCCGTTTTCACTGATAACTTGTCATGATTCAAAAAGGAGTTCACAATATCATTTCGTAGACACAGCGTCGCGAGTGTATATTCGCGAGTATAAGATTCGTAGTCGTCATAACGGGTGCTGTGCAATCAAGGTTATAAGAAAAGGTAGTTTCCTTCCGCGTGCGTGCTAATGTAAACTTTAGAGTTAGAATAAAAACGTAAATAATTTTAATTACTAATTTTACTCTAATTATTTTAAAATTGTGATTTTTTTGATTTTTTCTTGAGTTTTAACCCCTACTTTAGCCAGAATAAAAGCCTTTTTTGCATGCCTATTTTTGTAAAAATAAATGTATTTTTTCTTTCCTATTTTAGGTCAAATAAATGCCTGAACATCCGGGCTTTAGATATAGAAATACTATGTTATGCAGTCATTTCTGTACTGAAGCAAAGTGGGATTATAAATCTGATCAAAAAATCAAAACTTGCAAATTCAAATCTGACATCCATTTTGCTGGAGATGATTTTCTAGAAAAAGTTGAAATATTAAGATGCAATGTCGATGTAAGCGCTACGAACATTGGGAAGAAGTATGAACTGTTGAAGCACCACTGGTTTGAGGGATACGTTTGGACATATTAATTGTTGAACAACTCGTCTGCTAATGTTTGCCCAGCCGACCGCAGAAACCTATGTTTTCTATTTCACATTCCAGCTCGTGCAAAACTTTTCGTGTTGGGACGATTCGTGAAATCATTTGAGGGTCAGTGACCTGAGGTGAAGTGAAGTAACCCATCGCTGGATGTCAGAAGATAAAATAGAGACCAAGTGTGCGAAATTTTCTCAGGGGATCAGCTGGTGTTCTTTAATAGTATTAAGTGTTCTATTCATACAATCTATTAAATTTACTTAAAAAATATTTTGTTATAAATTATAACCACGGTAAGCACCAGTGTAGCAATGTATATCGATCACGATCAAAGCCTTATGCAAATAACAAAACTCCTGGTATGCTTGTAGAATTATTTTTATAATATATTTAATGTAAATTAGTGCCTTACTCTTTAGATAGCCGTATACGATAAATCAAAGCCCCTTGGATACTGTGCTTAATATTACGATACCTATTAACTGCAATGATTCAGCTAAAATATTATTTTATTAAAATTTTCAGTTTATTCTTTGTTTCTGGGCGCGCAGTTCGAAACGAGGCTTCTGCGAGTCATTTTGGGCAGCTCCAGGCTAAAGTTAGTCTACTTTAGATAACCCGCAAAATGACAGTGCACGAATTAGCACATAGATTTTTTGTTCACTCAATGTGCTAGTTGGTGGTATTCCCTCATAAAGGTTAGTTACCACTCCAAATATAATAACACTAGGTATTTAATTAGCGCGCCCTTAAAATTCTGAGCAAATTATTCTTGCTTAGGGATCATTTTTTGGGCAGATTGAATCACTTTCTGCTCCCGTAAGGAATGCATTTCAACCTCAATACATTTCTATAAGTTGAAATTGTATTCTGACCTTCGCATTCCGGTTCCGTAGGTGAAATGACAGCATGTCACCATGTCCAGAAACCTTGGGTCAATTAGTGAAACCATTTCATGACGAATTTGGCGGCGGTTCGTGAAACTCTTTTTTTTTAAACTGGCTGTTTTCCTTGCGTGGCGGTTAAAAGATACGAACATTATACTCCGATTTGAACATAGACGCACATGAAGGTCACGCGCTGGATGGAGAGAGGGACATTGTCATCCAATGGAGAACTTGGTTACGACTTAAAGTTTTCGTCTTTGAGCTCCCGATTGAATGTCAAAGTCCCCCTAACTTGCCAGCTCATGACCTTGAAGCGCCATTGTGTTTGAATCGGATCATAAATGTGGGTCGATTATTTTTACTTCCTCGCCCTTGCTTCGTAAGAAGAGAAAGTACGTAATCGAGTGACAGAAAACGACGAATTTTCGACAGAAAAACTTTTTGCCGGACCCTAAAAACAAACTAATGGTGCTTGAAAATGACATACTTTCTCGCATTATTTGTAAACAGGGAATTTTCAGAAATTCAAGAGACTTCAACAAGAAGGCCATTCTTTTAAGCCTTCATTGTTCTATCTGTGGAAAAAATTTAGAGCGGTTTTTGAGAAAAGGTTTTTTCTTCTAAATTGCATTAATTTCTTTCACAAAGTACGCAAACTACTCTGATAGATCTTTTAGAACAGATTTTGTTCACAGCAAATAATCTCTACCTTCAACTTTCTTGTTTTCAAATGTCAACTTTCTGCAAATTTCTAAAATACTGAGTTTGCCGGAAATGAGACATAATTAAGAAAAAGAAAACAAAATTTAAGAAAATTTTGAAAATGTTGACGCATCATGTAAAGTATTCCCCAAAATCAAAATATTCGTTTCAAGAGGGCCACGAGTTTAAATCGATCGGGGAATATAATTTTGGAGAAAATTGGCTGAAGGGTTTATGCGCCTGCTCTGATCACAGACGGACTGACAGCGTTTCGTCGTCAATTGATTTTTCAGTACCCAGAAAATATGGATTCTGACTAAACAACGTGTTAGGGACAAGGACATTTTAATTATCAGGACCTGGCAATAAGACTTTTCTGTCGAAAATTCGCTGTTTTCCAGCTCAAGATCACAAAATGTTCTCTTCTTACGAAGTGCGGGAAAGAAAAAAGGTTTTAGAAGACGCCGCGTACAACAGAGTATATAGCAGGGTACAGTAAAGTACGGTGTACACTTTCGAGCAGATTATTAAGGAGATTTTTGTAAACAATAGTTGAAAAATAGAAGGTACACAATTTTCATTAAATTCGTTCTAATTTTTCTTAACCCCTATGTAAATTGTACAAGGAAGTACAGTGAAACGTGCTTTAATAGCCACCTTCATTTAGCAGTCACCTAATAAACGTTAACGGTAATTATTTCATGTAATCAATTGATTTTCCCGTAAGTCACGTTCCTCATTTGAGAGGCCAGACACATTTTACATATTTACTTCTATTAAAAGATCTAGCATTTTGATACTGTAATAGAATGAGGGGAAAAGTAGTGGATCATTATCTCGTTGCGACGAGGTGCATGATCAGATACAAGTGACATGACAGTCGCGTTCTCACAGGGTGATTATATTTAAGATGGAATTATTTTGAATACGTGTTCCGATGCAATAATGCGTTCGCTTCGGTAATTCACAGCTGTCTCATTGAGTTTTCCAACCCCTTCTTCCCCTGAGAGAACTTGACGACGTGGCGGAGCACGCCAATCTCGTGGTCAGCCCCGCTCCCAGAATATGAATAACGCGCTTTGGAAACAGACTTGTTTGTGAGTTCTGTTCGAAGGGGTGGAAAGTGTGTCACGCGAGGAATAGAAGGATCAAGGATGCTCGGCACTAGCCGAGGAGGCACGTGTCCCAGGAAACGAGACAGGAGTATCAGCTAGAAGAAACAGGGCCTGGGCAAGTCCTTATACACACACACACACACACACACACACACACGTGTATGTGTGTGTGTGTGTACAGAACGACTTGTTCTAGGGCAGTACACCCACGAGAGCCCCTTATTTCAAATAAGTCTCCCACCCCCAAAAAAGATAAATTGACAGAATAAATTTCTCCACGCAACACAAAAAGCGTACAGCGGTAATTTGAATTAGAAGAAAATAGTTTTGAATGACAGCAGTAGCTTACGTAGCATGGGCGCGAAACAGTGATTCACGCACGAGTCGAGTTTGTCGTCTGCGCGTAGCGTAGAATCAACTCTAATCAACATCATTTTATGGAAAACGACAGTTGGAACAAATTGAATTTCCATAACTTCATAACTTTTATTACATGGCCAATTTTTATTATACCATTGGTGACCGCCTAAGACATATTTCACTGTATGTCCCATTTTGTAGTATACGTGTAACTAGTTTTTACAATAATATAATTTTCAAATTTAACACCAAAATGTTTTTGATGTTTTGTTTAGTTGCTGGATTTCCCTGCAGAGATGATGCTGATTGTTTGGAAAATGCAGAGTGTATTCTACCAGGAAACATTTCAACTAATGCCACTGAAATACGTAAAATTGATGTAAATAAGTTGCTGACAGGACAGAATGTGAAGATCTGTTGGTGCCGAGAAAACTTTGAGATAACTGATGATTATCATTGTTCCAGTAAGTACAAGCTTATATGTTTCCTAAATATTACGTCTTTGTAAAAATGCGAGAGAAGTATTTTTTCGCATTTACGAAAAATGCGAACTTTTGCAAAATGCGAAAGAAGTAATACTTATTTTCTGATTAATTTGAATATTATGACTTTCAATACTAGGAAAAACAAATTAATATAAATATAAAGTAACTTCAGGTAGCAAACTTATCACTGAGGTTGCCCTGGGCCAATTACAACTATCCAAGCAAAACTGATGAACAAAAAGAACTTCATCATAAAATATACCACCACTTAAATACTGAACTGTTTTGAGATACATCTTTTAATTCTAATTTCAGCCACTTAAGTATTGATAAATAAAATTAAAAACCGCCAAAATAGGAAAAGTAAATAATAATGACTATATAATAAATTCATTAGAAGTATTTCATATTTGGAATCTATTTCATAACATACAATAAAAGAATTCTATAAATGTAATGAGTAGGGCCAGGATAATTATGTAATAACATATTTTCCAAACGTAACTCTGTCAAGTCGAATCAAAAATATCTTCACATTTCATATTGGTTAGTGCCAAAAAAGTTGACTTTTTAGTATATATATATTACCCGAAAGAACATATTTTTCCATTTTACTGATTTTTTCCATTTAAAAAAAAATATTTAATTCTTAATTTTTCCTGTATTTTTGATAAGGAATCTCCCAGGCAAACAATTCGGCATTGTCAAACATTTTTTTCTGTAGACTCCTTTCTAAAATGCTGCTCTTGCATCGCGTTGGAATGAGTCTGTTCCTAAATACCATTATTGCAATAAAATGACAAAAGGACGACGCAATCCCTTAGTTCTTGTGCGGTGTTTTAATAGCGAGTGTTGCAGAGAACACAAAGGAAGTCAGATTTGTGAAAATGATACGTTTAGTGGGCGATATCGCGCACCCACTTTGCATCTTTGCAAAACTATTCACCCAGCTCAGGAAGCGCCGTTGACATTTTTCTTTCCCCGTCTGTCACCCGCGAACCTGCGCCCTTGTTTGTAAATTATCTCTTTGGACCGAAAATTTGAAGTAAAATCACGATGTGTCACTTAAGCTATTGGATTAAACCTTATGGGACAGTGGTAATGATGAGTGAGATTTTAGCAAAGGCAAGTACGGCTGTTTCCGTACACTTTTACCATCGAAATCCATGTTGGCAATTTGAAAACGCGTCGCGTTTACAGAGAAACGATTCCGCTCGTACGTAAAAAAAGTCTCTCTTATATTTTTAAAAAAGCTGACAAAAGGGAACTTGGCCGATCATTTTGAATTTCATTTTAGTTGCCTATTTTGAAGAGCGGCTAAATCTTACCTGTTTTGAAAATATCTGGAAAAGTTCCGGTGAAAAGGGTGCATTAAATATGTGAGTTCACGGATGTATAATTATAGGCGCACTAGTCAATCCTAAAATTCATCCAAACCGGCCGAATATTTATTTTTTAGTTTGCCGATTATTTAGAGAATTTCATAGGAAGACGCTTCGGAAACGAACATCATGTCTAAATTTTGTGGGGTGAAAAGGGTAAGTCTCTTTTGTTAACTTGTGAAGTGTTGCTCTCATGCAACCATTAAACTATTGCAAAACTGTTAATAATACAATGACATTTTTGTGGCCTGATTGAGTAGCGTCTTTCTTCTGGTGCTATTACAGCCCCGTACATGAAAGGCGGCCGAAGCCCTGCAGGTGTCGTTTCCAAACTCACCACTTCTAACCTGAACTGAGTATGCGTTGGGATGCAAAACTGATTAGATCTCAAGTTGATAAAGATGATGCATGGATTTCAAATACAAAAAAGTATAAAAAAGATGGGGCCCCTGGATTGATTCTATGAGCTACAGTACTGAAAAAGTTGATTTTAAACATGCATTAGGTATGCATTAATTTGATTCTGATCCTGCATATTAAAGCAATTGCTCCATATGCATATTAAAGCAATTGTTCTATGGTGAAAAGCTGAAAAATCATATTGCTCCATTTTCAAGCAAGCAGCACAATTAAATCTTTGGAGACGTCTTGCTTGAAATTGCCGAATCAGCAGTCAATTCTTTAAGAACAATTCATTTATCACTACGAACTGTTTGTTTATCAGTTCGAAGATCAGTACTGAATCTATTGAAGAAAAAAAAACTGTTCAGTTCTGGAGAAAACTCCAGATTCGAAACAATTTGTGCTATGAATGCAATGCAAGAAGGGAACAATTCCACCACACTGGATATTGACTATTCGCCAAAGGATCTGTGCAAGCTTATATACTCACTAGTGAATCGTGCGATGTACAAAACTCTTTTTGTCAGTACAAGGCCCTCTTGTAAGAGGGCCTTGTACTGACAAAAAGAGTTTTGTACATCGCACGATTCACTAGATAATAGGAAAAGTTTTATTGCTGAAAATTTTAAACAGATAATTGTTTCTTATTGTTACCCAAATCGTTGTAAATAATAGAATTAGGAAGAGAATAATGTTTACTTTTGGCCTTTATATTATGAAACCAAAAAGTATACCCTAACGTGTGTGAACCTTGAAGTGTTTTAATAAAAAAATAATTGATTTAAAAATACATATTTCTTACCTTTTAGTACATTTTTCTGTGTATTATAATACATATATGTGTACATATTTTTCCTATGTTTGGTACATAACTATCCAGGCCCTAGTAATGAGATAATTTGAGAATTAAAATAGCTTCAGTGTTTTAATGTAAATAAGATCATTGTGCTTTTATAATTTGTCTAATAGTATTGTCATAAGTCTAATGCAGAGATTTCAAATCACCTGCATGTTTATATTTACAAATTAACATTATTTATTGTTTCAGTGGGAACATCACTTCTACCATCTGCAGTTTTAATATTAATATCTTTGTATGCACTATTTATGGATGAGACCGTACAGAATATAAAATACTAACTAAACTCTAGCATGAAAAGTTTTATATGTCAGCCATAGGGAACAATTCAGCTGTATCAAAATAAATATCAGCTAAGACAATTGGACATTTATACAAATGAAACAAATACATACTTCACATATGGAAATGCAAAATTAATCAAATTTTCATGTTTCATTCTTGGTTTCAAACAGGGGAGTGCACTAAAATACTGGAACTTGCATGACACGATTTCAGGTATTAAAATTATATTCCAATATAAATGCATATCAGCAGTGCATTAATGAATATTTAAACAAATGTAATTAAGTTGTCATGGCAGCTTATTTCCTATTTATTCATATTCTGAAATCACAAGATTACTATAGATTTACATATTATTTTCTCTATTCATTACAATAGGCCTCTCACCAATATTATTTCATTTTGATACTGCCGTGTTCAACTGATTAGAGAGAACCAAGACCATTGTTCTAAAGTAGTAATAAAATAAATAATAAGATTTTTTATTCCCTTCAATGTGCTCGCATTGTTATTTTCATGAATGGTCCATTAAATAAATATTCAACTAATAGTAAATTTCACTTGTGAGAACTATTAATTGATTGTCTTTTCAAATAAGCAATATTCAGTAATAATACATTTTTACTGTTTAGTTATATAGGCACATGTAAACATTTTTCAGAAGGATATATAAATAATGGCATAAGAAATATTTAAAATAATAATTATATACGTGTTTGTACATATGCAAGATATTTTGCACAATTTTTGGAAAGTAAAGAAAATAAACATGTTTCTATTATACCCCATACTTCTTTCTTCATGTCTGCACTGTAAGCACCAAAATTCTGTGTAAAATGTAATTAACATCATCGAATAAAGCACACTACAGCATCTTTCCTTTTCCACAACTATTTGTGCTGATCTCAGCACCTTCTGTCCTGCAGAACCGAACAAAGGAAAGCAGACAAGCTTGTGGGGAAAAAAACGCCAGACAAGCTTGCTCAAAACCAACTTCTATGAAATACAACTGCACTGCCCTACCTTCCCTGTAACAAACTGTAGTGAACAGTTTTTATTGTTATTTTGTAAATGAATTCAATATGTGTACTTCTGCATGAATCCAGTGACCCTATAAATATACCATAAACAAAACCTGCAATGTATGTATTACTGAAAAAGTCAGTTTTCCTCCTACAGTATCAAAATACAAATCGCATGGAGCTTTTGAAACACAGAACTTTATTCTTACGTTTATGATTGTATATTAATCCAGCTATTTCACTTATTTTATTTATCAACTTTAAAAAACCTGAAAAATTATGCTATTACAGCAATATTATCTATTTCCAAAACACACTTCAGTATACATACTGAAACACATAAAACCATTACTTACATTATCTTAATAAGTGCCAATATTAACAAAACGCAATGTATCAGGAATTGATGAAATAAAGTTATTATTAATATTGAAGGGTTTTCACCATTTTCTTTTACAATAAAACAGTTTTACATTGTGGCATAATTAGAATTTATGCCAATATTTTGGACTGGATTTAAATTCATCACTGCTGTATGTATGATACCATGTCATGTTATAGATTCATGTAATAGTACATGTATTAAAATAAGTACAATGACATACCATGATTAACTTAATATAACATTAAAAGTATTGGGAAGTGTATACGACCTAACCGGAATCAGCAATATGCTCCACCAAGTGCAGTCGAGTAGCTTTGCAGCGCAGGGGCGTGTGGCCGCAGTAGTGCAATGCCGCCACACTTCCCTGCTGTGGAGCCATCCCTATCCTTTCGGACATCTATGGCTGATCTGTAAAATAGAGAAAAGAAAATGGTCAGGAAAGACAATAGCCGTTCGGCGCGCTTTTGGCGTTGTTTACCGCAATTTTCATGCAAGTATTGGCGTCTCGCCTATTGTAGCATATCTCTCGGGCGCTTGTACGTAGCCGTGGGGTCCGGCTCGTACAAAGATAAATTTATTATAATGTCATTATTGACGTACTTAATTTTGAATAAAAGGCTTTAGCTAGGTTTTTAAAGTGCTCTTCTATGAGCGGTAGTTTTACTGCAACCAAGTGCAGTGAAGCAAATGGAGAGGAGTAAATCCATGAGGCATGTGGTTCTTGTATGGTATCTACTTCTATTTACCGTCAACCAACTTAATAAAACTATTTACATCACTGTTAAACAACTCGAATATAATATATGTTTATTTATTTACGTCAAAAACAGTTAAAACTGTGTGTGATGTACTATGGGGAGAAGTTAATTTGAAATTACATTTATGTCCAGAAGTAAAACAAGGCGTCGTCTCAGTATTTGCTCGAGGATCAGGAAAACTGGACGAAAACCTGATCGAGATGGGGGTCATTGACCCAGAAGCTGAAGTACAATACTTGTTGCAGGTTCTTTATAATTATACAATCTAAATGGTAAATAATACAGTAAATGTCGTTAAAATTAATATTATTTTCCTTTTGGAAGCTCGGTATAGTCTTTAATTCGATAGAAACAGTTGTGCAGCACAAAATATTTTACTTGGGGCTTCAACTTTTGTATCGAATTCAATCGTTTAATGGCATCTGGCAAGGTGTTGTAAAATAATGTACATGTATTATATGTGACTTTTTTCTAGTGAGCTGTTGATACTGTCACCTGATGAATGTGATTACTACGTCGAATGTTGGCATTGTAGACAACGGCGTTTGCTGAAAATATATTCCCGCCCTTAAGTAAAACATTTGACAAAAACCACTGATTCATATATGAAGAGACAAGGTAATGGTAAACTACCTAGATGAATAAAGAGAGGCTTACAAGAATCACGTGGGGAGATTTGCTTATTATTCGTACAATTCTTTTTTGTAATCTAAAAGTCTGGGAGCCATAAGATGAATTTCGCCAGAATATTATGCCATATCTAAGGCAGGAATGAACATTCGCGAAATATATACAACAAGCAGTGTGGAGGCTCACTGAATCTGAAAGAATTCTGAAAGCGTAGCATAGGGAACTTAATTAGTGTTCAATTCATTTATATAGACGTTCCATTTAAGGTTAGATTGAATTGAAAGACCTAAAAATGTTGTTACCTTAACATCAGTCAATGGCAAGCCGTTCATTTTCAGTGAAGTGCCGAGCTGTTTATTTGAAATGCAGAACAGCATTGAAACAGTTTTCTTTTCATTTATTATTAATTAGTTATTACGAAACCAATTTGAAAGACCCAATATTGTGCTATTTACAGTTTCTTTATTGCAAAGAATATTCATATCATCCGCAAAGAGAACTGTTCTTCCGTTTCTAATCGTTGAGGACATATCGTTTACGTATAGTACGAAAAGAATAGGGCCTAAAATCATGGTCATGTACATGTTTTTGAACATTTTAGTAGTTTTCGCGCAATATTGCGTTCAATTTTAAAAAATATACAAAAACAAGATTGCTCAAATCGGCTATAATTTTTTCTTAAAATTTTTGGTAGAGATTGTGCTAAATGCACTCTATGAAATAACAAAAAAGGCATATTGCTCTTTTCTTTTTTCAAATATTATAAAAAATTAATTGTTTTTACTTGTCTCTCATCATTAATATTTACGTTCGCGGCAATTTGTTCTCAATATTATATTTATGAGTACATGTGCTTTAAATAATGTCACATAAAGCTTCTCAAAAACTCAAGAAAACTAGCTTAAAATTTTGCAATTTCAGAAACGCTCAAACGGCATTTTCTCAAAAACAGCTTCTTTTGTTTTTGAAAGGATAGAGCTAACTGCTCTTTTTAACATGCTGTAAAGATCATTTTTGGGTATTTTTTTGTTTTTTCAAAACTGTTTTTTTTAAGATCTCTCACGCCCGTAATATGCATATTTCTAGCAATTTGTGAACACTATTGTATTTGTGAGTTAAAGTGTTTCAATTTACTTCAAATGAAGGTTTTCGAAAACTCATAAAAAATATATGAAAAAGTGATCAATTCAAATTTCGAATTTACTGCAGCCCTTAAGTGCTATTTTCTTAAAAACTGCTCCAAATTTTGAAATTGAAATTGCCATTTATGACAAGGTTTTACTGTTCTACTGTAATATTCTTGAAAAATAACATTTCCGTTCTCCTATTAAGAAACCCAAAAAAATACGATAATTAAAAAAATGATAAATGGCAGCAGGCAAGTGTACGTGGATAACCGAGACCAAACGAAATAGAAAATTAATATGGGAAAGTCTGTGCCATTCTGTAGCACCGCTAATTTTCCATGTATATCCACTCTGTACACACTAATAAATTCATCGTTTGTCGACTCCTCCCATATTCTTTACTTTCCCACATACATACTTATACACGGAGTAATGTACGTAGTATAGAGAAAGTTATGAAATGCTGCGGAAGATTTCAACGGAAATACACGTTTTGGGGTCCCCTCACAGCGAAAAAATGTGTTTTTAAAACGTCCGTGCGTCAGTGAACATTACAAGCGCCTAAATCATAGGAAAGATTTTTTCCAAAATGGATATTCCCAAGTCGATTTGGCTCCACCCGAGAAGCTGCGATTTTGAAAATGTTTCTTTAAAATTTGGAGGCACTTTACATGAACCCCCATAGATACTTTCCAAATATTCTCAAAAACTGCTCAAAATTTTGTCTTTAAAGTTCTTATAAAACTAAAGTAAAATATACTTTTTAAGGTGGCATAGGTCTGATTTTCAGGTTTAACTCTGAATTTTCGATAATTGCCTACAACTACAAAAGTAAAGTTAGACATTTTTCTTCAAATGAAATTTGTTGCCCATAATTATTTGTTTCATTAAGGTCATGTGTATTTTTTTAAAGAAATTAGTAGTTGTTGCGCAATATGTGAAATTAAAAAGAAGAAATACAAAACAAGATTTTTGCAAAATTACGGTCCTTTTTTTTTTTTTTTTTTTTTTTTTTTTTTTTTTTTTTTTTTTTTTTTTTTTTTTTTTACTTTTGGTATGATAGAGCTAAATGTACTCTATGAGATGACCAACATCACTTTGCTTTATTCTTTTGTTTTTTCAAAAATTACAAAAATGTAATTAATATTTACATTAACAGAGATGATTTCATTATTATATTTATGGGTACATATGCTTTAAGTAATTTCAGATAAAGTTTCACGAAAACTCAATCATTTTTGGTGTGAAAACTAGCTCAAAATTTTGCATTTTCAGAAACGCTCAAATGCCATTTTCTCAAAAAAGGCTCAACATTTTTATGTTTTTTTCAAAATTTACATAATTGTAATTGAAAGATCTCTCATACTGTTAATATGCACATTTACATGAATTTGTAAACACTACTGTATTTGGGAATTAATTTACTTAAAATGACTTCCAATGAGGTTTTTCGAAAACTCAAAAATTTTCTGTGAAAAAGACGTCCAAATTACAAATATCAGGTAGCGCTTAAATGCAATTTTCTTAAAATTGGGTCCACAGTTTTCAAATAAAATTGCCACTTAGGACGAGGTTTTACTGTTATTTAATATTCTTAAAATAATATTTCCTTTTTATAATTAGGAAACTGAAAAATTTAGATCACTTTTTTTAAAAATGTACTTTAGGTGGCGAGAGATGAGACCGGGCAAGAGTATGTGCCAAGTTCAAATAGCTAGCAAAGACCAAAAGAAACAGAAAACAAATAAGGGAAAGTCTGTGCCATTGTGTTGCACCACTAGTTATCTTATTTCTTACCTTGAACATATAATTTTTTCATTTCTTTTTGGGAAAACTGCATAACCTAAGATGTGGGCAATATCATTGGATGTGTATGAAACATTTGTGTCATTCCATTTTAAATATTTTTTTCTTTTTCTGATGATACAAAATCGTAGGCCCCTTTCTTTTTTAGGTCATCTGACTGAATCAGAGGGCAGTTATTACAAACCCTTTTTTCTCGTATGGTTCCTGATCCCTTACAATTTTTTGATGTCATTTCACCTAAGTAAATGCAGAGAAATAAAAATGTTATGAAAATAAATGTGATAAGACAAATCTGTAAAGTTTGATTGAAGCACATCTACAAATAGTACCACCACACCCGCTTCAAGACCAAGATTTTTAGTACTGTTCTGGTAAATTATGATAAGCATCTTGATAACGATCACACAATTCTATGTAACCCAGTCCATAACTTATAACCCTACCTATTGTGCTTTTCCTTCATGAACTGTTTCACGCCATGTTGCCCATATAGACTAATCAACACTACGCATTTCTTTGCACAGAATAAGTCTATTAATCTCTTATTCAAGATTTCAAAGAATGGTCTGACCTTTGAGAATTTCTTTTTTATTTAGGAATTGTTGCAATCAATGTTCTGCATAAATAACCTAAAATAATTCCTAGACATTGCATTGCAAATCAAAACATTGTTGGGATC